CGTGGACATCGGGGCCGAGAGAGAGGGGCTGCTGCACATCTCCGCCATCTCCAAGGACTATATCGAGAAGACCTCGTCGGTGTCGGTGCTCAAGGGTGACAAGATGGTCAAGGTCTGGATCAGCGACCTGAGCGACGACGGGAAGTTCGGCCTGACCATGATCAAGGGCTATAAGAGACCCGAGAGGGTCGAGCGCGAGTCCCCGAAGAGTCCCCGAACAGTCACCCCTTTCTCCCGCGCGTCCCCGGACGAGTGGTTCGAGGGCAGGGTCCTGAGCCTTCTGCCCTTCGGTGCGTTCATCCTGCTGAAGGCGGAGGATGGGACCGAGGCGGCTGGCCTGTGCCACGTGTCCCAGGTAGCCGGTGCTGTCTCGGTGGGCCAGAAGGTGAAGGTGCGCGTGCTCGGCGTGGACGTGGGCGCGAAGAAGATGAGCCTGAGCATGCAGAAGAGCGGCGGCTTCGAGTCGGTCAGCCCGGACGAGTGGCTCACCGGTAAGGTGGCCAGGTGCGCCTCCTTTGGGGCCTTCGTGGAGGTGACGGCGCCAAACGGCGCCACGGCGGAGGGCCCGGTGCACATCACGCAGATCAAGGACGGCCAAGTGGAGAACGTGGCGGATGAGCTCAAGCCCGGCCAGGAGGTGAATGTGCGCGTGGTCAGCAAAGTCGGAATCTTCGAGGGCGGGGGCAAGATGCGCCTGTCGATGCTGCCGCCCGGGGTCGGAACGCCCGACCTGAGCGCCTTCGAGTCGGTCAGCCCGGACAAGTGGCTCACCGGCAAGGTGGTCAGGTGCGAGACGTTTGGAGCCTTCGTGGAAGTGACGGCGCCAGACGGCGCCACGGCGGACGGCCTGGTGCACATATCGCAGATCAAGGACGACTTCGTGCGGAAAGTGAAGAAGGAGTTCGAGCCCGGCCAGGAGGTGAAGGTGCGCGTGATCAACGTCGACAACTTCGGGGGCAAGATGAGCTTGTTGATGATACCTGACCTGAGCGCCTTCGAGTCGGTCAGCCCGGACAAGTGGCTCACCGGCAAGGTGGTCAGGTGCGAGAAGTTTGGAGCCTTCGTGGAAGTGACGGCGCCAGACGGCCCCATGGCGGACGGCCTGGTGCACATATCGCAGATCAAGGACGACTTCGTGCGGAAAGTGAAGAAGGAGTTCAAGCCCGGCCAGGAGGTGAAGGTGCGCGTGATCAACGTCGACGTCGGCGCGGGCAAGATCAGCCTCTCGATGAAGCCGCCGGAGAGCTCCGACTAGGAGTGAGGCAGTGCCGGTTAGACCTCGTCCTGTTGCTGGGAGAAAAGAAGCATACACATCATAGGCGACGCCGAGAGCCAGAGTTGCGAATCGTTTTGCTCCTTCTGGCGTCTACAGATTCACGCGTCCCGATCCGCTCGTGCGGCTTTGCTGGCGCGAAGTCAGCGGCCTGTGGGCTTTGGGGCGCCCCGCGAGTGAGCCCGCGAGCGCGCGGGTAGCAGAAGCCTGTGATGGAGAAGCCCGCCCAGATTTGAAAAAAAACAAAAAAATCCTCCTCCGCCTCCTCCGCCTCCTCCTCCCCCTCCTCCCCCTCCTCCTCCTCCTCCTCCTCCTCCTCCTCCTCCTCCTCCTCCTCCTCCTCCTCCTCCTCCTCCTCCTCCTTCCTCCTCCTCCTCCTCCTCCTCCTCCCCCCCCTCCTCCTTCTCCGTCTGCGCCTCCCCCTCATCCCCCTCTTCCTCCTCCTCCTCTGCCTCCTCCTCCTTCTCCTCCTCCTCTCCTTTGTGGCAATACGACGATCGCACGACCAGGGTCCACGCTCGATGGCTCCCCGTCGGCGGCGACAGGGGGGGGAAGCGAGAAGGAGAAGGCCTTCTCAGAAGGTTCGGAAACCCTTTGGCCTTCTGAGAAGCTGTCCTAAGCCTTCCCCGTAGACAGAAAAAAACTTCCCGGAGGAAGCGAGGGGGCTTCGCAGGAGTCCCGCCCCTTTCTGGGAGAAGTCCGTCCCCCTCTCCTCTCCCCCCCTCGCCCGCCGCCGCCCTGGTCCTGCCCGTTCCCTCGGCCTGCCGAGGGGGACGGGGAGGGGGAGGCGGAGTCGGAGGCGGACGCGGAGGCGGAGGCGGAGGCGGAGGCGGAGGCGGAGGCGGAGGAGGAGGAGGAGGAGGAGGAGGAGGAGGAGGAGGAGGAAGACGAGGAGGGCGAGGAGACGAGGGAGGGGGGAGGAGGAGGAGGAGGATGAGGAGGAGGAGGAGGAGGAGGAGGAGGACGAGGACGAGGAGGAGGAGGAGGAGGAATCTTGCCTGCCCGCGCGCTGCTTCCGTGAGGACTCGGAGGGGGACGACACGGCCGACCAGGACCCCCGCGGAGGGCGCGCAGAAAACGGGGCAGAGGGCGTGGGGGGGGGGGCCTCCCGAGAGAAGGCGCGGGACCTTTCGGAAAAGGCTCGGCCCCTTGCACGCCAGTCGTTGCAAGTACTGTAGGTACGTAGCACCCCGCAAATGCGGATAAGAGTGAGGGGTAGGGCTTCGGCAACGCGGGCGTTGAGCCGGCGGACCTCGTGGCCCTCACCTTCCCTGTCGATGGCGTCCTCCTCTTCCTCCTCTTCCTCCTCCTCCTCCTCCACCTCCTCCTCCTCCTCTTCCTCTTTCCTCCTCCTCCTCCTCTCCTCTCCTCCCCTCCTCCTCCTCCTCCTCTCCTCCCCTCCTCCTCCTCCTCCTCCTCCTCCACCCCCTCTTCCTCCTCCTCCTCCTCCTCCTCCTCCTCCTCCTCCTCCTCCTCCTCCTCCCTCTCCTCCTCCTCCTCCTCCTCCTCCTCCTCATCTTCCTCCCCCATCACGATCCTCTACCAGTCCCATTGTTCCCTTCGGGGAGGGTTTTGCACTCCCCTGCATCCGGGCCTCTGGGTCCAGAGGGGGGACCGCAAGGGGTTAGAGCGTCGAAGATTGTGAATATGGCCCTCAGCTTGTGTCTGCCAGCTGAAGGTGCCCTCCGAAATCTCCCAGATAGCCCAAGACAGGTCAACGTAGCTTCCACATCCTCCGCCTGCACCTCTTGATGTCCTCCTGCTGCTCCTCCTCCTCCTCCCTCCTCCTCTCCTCCTCCTCCTCCTCCTCCTCCCCCCCTCCTCCTCCTCCTCCTCCTCCTCCTCCCCCTCCTCCTCCTCCTCCTCCTCCTCCTCCTCCTCCTCCTCCTCCTCCTCCTCCACATTCTCCTTACATCCTCTCTTCTTCCGCGTCCTCCTCGTCCCCTGTTTACTCCTCTGCCTCGCCCTTCTTTCTCAAGATAACAGCAAACCAATCCTTTGTTCCACTGAATGCTCCCCGACTTCTCTGATCCAGGCAACCCGCCAGGGTAAAGTTGCTGGATGGGTTGGTGTGGATGAGCGAAGCTTGAAGAGGTGTTGGGGGGTTCAGACGGCATGCTAAATCCGCCGCCGCGCTTGTGCGGCACTGGCGTGCTGTGTGGTAGGGTTCGTGGACGCCCCCCTCAGGAGGGTCCTTGAGCGCCCCGAGGCCCCTTAATTGTGGGCGCCTTGCGGCAGCTTCCCCTGAACCCAGGCTTTGGGCACGGATGCCGAATTGCAGCAGGCAGCTGGATTGTCAATGGATGTGTTCAGACACAGCCCCGCCGCAGGTGCCGACGTGCTGATGCAGAGTCAACGTGGGCCGGATCGGGGGAATGGCACGAGGGCGCTTTCCCCAATCAATGCGAGCAAGCCAGCCGCCGGCGCCGATTTGCGTGTTCTGACAAGTTCAGCGCGGGGGGGATCGCTGGTGGGCCACCCGGAACGAATGTAAAAACAGCCCGCCGCAGGCGCCCGCCGAATTCTTGGCTTGTTCAGTGAACGTAGTGTGGGTCGCGGGTGGGCCGCGGGCTCTCCACCTCCACCTGGAAGGAATTCAAAGACAGCCCGCCAGGCGGCGAACATTTTGATTTGTACACTGAACGCGGTTTGGGTCGAAGGTTCTCCACCTGGAACGAATGCAAAAGAAACCCGCCGCAGGCGCCGAATGTTTGGCTTGTTCAGTGAACGTAGTGTGGGTCGCGGGTGGGTTGCGGACTCTCCACCTCCACCTGGAAGGAATTCAAAAACAGCCCGCTGCGGGCGGCGAGAATCTTGATTTGTACACTGAACGCGGTTTGGGTCGCGGGTGGGTTGCAGGTTCTCCACCTGGAACGAATGCAAAACAAACCCGCCGCACGCGCCGAAAATTTTGGGTGGGTCGCGGGGTGGGTCGCGGGTGGGTCGCGGGTGGGTCGCGGTGGGTCGCGGGTGGGTCGCGGGTGGGTCGCCAGGGGGGGCGCCGGTGGGTCGCGGGGTGGGTCGCGGGTGGGTCGCGGGTGGGTCGCCGGTGGGTCGCGGGTGGGTCGCCGGGTGGGTCTCGGAGTGGGTCGCCGGCGGTTCGCGGGGTGGGTCGCGGGTGGGTCGCGGGTGGGTCGCGGGTGGGTGGCGGGGTGAATCGCGGGTGGGTCGCGGGGTGGGTCGCGGGTGGGTCGCGGGGTGGGTCGCGGGTGGGTCGCGGGTGGGTCGCGGGGCGGGTCGCGGGTGGGACGACGACAACAAGAAACAACAACAACAACAACAACAACAATCATTTTACCCGAACGCTCAGTGTTCTCACCAGTGCCAGGGTTTTCATGCGACGCGAGACAATACCCCCACTTCGTGGGGGGGCAGTTCAAGCTCTACCAAATATCCAAACGACTCTTCGCGACCACCCAAACCCAGCTTCCCGCCCTATGACGTTGGGACACTTCACTTCGTGGCGTGCGGACGACCGTGGCTACTACACTGGCGTGGGGTACACACCCACAGAGCTTGGTCACTTATTCGGGGCGCGCGTGTGCCCAGCATCCTGCAATTGTGACATACAATACATGACACAGACAGACAGAGAGAGAGACAGAGAGCAGACAGAGAGAGAGACAGAGAGAGCGGAGTTCTGGCCCCTGGCAGGCGCGCGAACCCCGTTGCAAGAGCGTGCGAAAGTAGCTCGCGCGAGCTCATGTAACATAAATGTTGGAAAACCATTGGTTTTTTTAGGATTCGGACAGCGCGCGCGGGTGGAAATTTTGAAAAGTCGTGCAGGTGTTTTTCGAGGACCTACGGTGCGATTCGTGTGATTTTATGATGCGCGGTGCTAAAATTCTTAAGAACCCAATGGTTTTTGGAGATTTCGGCGTGCGCGCGCGAAGAAAAAACGAATGTGTCCCGCATGGTATTATTTGACAGGGATGATGGCCCTGGCAGGTGCGCAACCGTTGTCGCAGAAGTTCGAAAAAGTTGCTCGCAAAAGCCCGTTTGACAGAATTGTTTAAAAAGTGTTGGTTTTCCTACGAATCCGCAAGAGCGCGCGGAAGGACATTTTGACAATTTTTTCTTAAAAAACCATTGGGTTTTTGATGTTTTTATGTTAAAATCGCTACGAAACCTAAGGTTTTGGAAGGATTTCGTCTTGCGCGCACGAATGTCCACTTTACCTTATTTTTTGCAAGGGATTCTTGCAATTTGATCAAGTAAGAACAAGAATTTTCATTTTATAGTGTTTTTTGCAAGGGAAAACGGATTACAACAAAACAACCGGATCCGGTGACAATCCACTTTTCTGAAGCTTTCGCTAGAAAATGAAGGAAATGAGGCTGCGGCCTAGGTTTTGGAGGGGGGTCGCGCACCAGGGGTCTCAACAATAATATTTCTTTAGAAGTAATAATATTCAACAACAACAACAACAACAACAACAACAACAACAACAACAACAACAACAACAACAACAACAACAACAACAACAACAAATCCGTATCGCGGAATTCCACTTCAGCCACGCACCCACGGACAGTGAATGACCGTTCGGTTCAGCCCCCTCATTCTGATTTATTTCGGACTTCCAGATCCCAATCTGCTTTGGGCGCCTTCCTACTTCAAGGGTCGACTGGCTTCCTTATTTCCTCCTCTGCAGGGGGCGGGGGAAGCCCACTTTGCTTCCAACGCCTTCCTGATTCATGTTTCTGCCCATTTCTTCCGACAGGCGTGTAAAGCCCAGCCTGTGCACCGCAGTCCCTCTAAGAGACCGGGGGGCCCTTTTCCCAGGCGCCAGGTGTCGTTGAGCAAGCGCGCGACGAAGCCAGAATCACTCCTGTCAAAATTCAGAGCAGGGACGCACGGATGTCCTTAGGGTACCCTTGCGTCCTTGCCTTTTCCGGCCCATCTTTGGCGGTTTTCAGCGGCCAGCCCTTCAGGGTGTTGGCAGACCGCCGCCCAAAAAATGCAAACTTCGACATCCAGGGCCCTTTCCGTCCTCCCCACCCGTCCTTACCATAGATGTCCACTCTACACGCCAGTCGTTGAAAGTAGGTGTTTTTGGACTCCCAGATCCCGTTCTACTTTAAGCGTCTTCCCACTTCAAGAATGGATATGTTTGGATGATTTGGGGGGCTGGCGCAAACCTGATCTAATTCTAGGGCTTGGCTGCCACTTCCCTGGATGGCGTTGGTTGTTTATGATGGTTCTCGTTTGTCCGTCGGTTGTTTTGGCATGTCTGCCTGGTTTCGGCTGTTTGGGCTTGTTCTCGCTTTTCCGTCGGTTGCCCCAGGCTCGTCGGCCGCCCCTCGGTCGCCTGGCCCCTTGCCTGACACCTTCCCTGGCTGGTTCTGTTTGTTTTTGTTGATTGTCGTTTGTCCGTCGGGTGCCGTGGTCGCCCCAGGCTCGCACTGTAGGCTGGCCCTCGGTCGCTCGGCCCCCGGGGTGGCCTCGCCCTGTCTGGCTTGGGGCCGCTTTCGGTGGGCCGTCGGCTGCTCTGCTCTGGCCGCGCCCGGCCCCCCGGGCCGGCCCTCGGTCGCTCGGGCGCCCATGGGTGCCCAGCGGCCGAGGGCCGGCCGAAGCCAAGCAGGGAGAGAGGCCGCCCCATGGGGGGGCCGAGCGGCCGCGGGCCGGCCGAGGGGTCGAGCGGCCGAGGGCCGTGTTGCGCGCCGCGGAGGCGGGGCCCTCGAAAAACTTGCAGCACGTCTCGTGTAGTGGTCGCTGCTTCTGTGTTTGTTTGGCGGCCCCGAGCACGATCTACTTCTTCCGCCCTCCTGCCTTCAGGAGGGAGAAGAACACACAGACACAGGCAATCGTCGATTCCTCCGAAAATATGGGCAAATATGGGAAGTGGGGGGGAAGACAAAAACCTGGAACAGATGGGAACAGATGGGGAATCCTTTTATTTGCGTATATTTATTTGTGTGTCCCAGGGCCCCTCCCCCCCCGCTCCCCCCCCCCCCGCGCGCGGAACGCCGGGAGGACGAGGACGGGAACGAGGAGGACGACAGCGAGGACGAGAGCAGTTGAGCCGCCGTCGCGTCTCTCGCTCCCTCCCTCCCTCCCTCCCTCTCTCTCTCTCTCTCTATTCTCTCTCCCTCTCTCTCTCTCTCTTGTTTTGTTGTTTGTCCTCTCTCTCTCTCTTTCTCCCTCCCTCTTTCTCCCTCCCTCTTTTTGTTCTCTCTCTCTCTCTCTCTCTCTCTCTCTCTCGGCTCGCGAGCAAGAGGTCGCTGCGCGGGCTGCCTCGACTCAAGACTCAAGACCCGAAGCGTGACGAGGCCTGCGCGTGAAGGCCAGGCCCCAAAAGAGAGCACGGCGCCACGGCGCGACGACGACGACGACGACGGCGACGGCGACGACGGCGACGACGACACGACGGCGATGACGGGCGACACCACCCCTACCCGCGGCTCGGGCCCGCGCTGGGCGGCAGACAGCGCACAGCACGCCGCTCGACGCCTGCTCCCCCCGAGGCGGCCTGCCCCCGCGCGGGCACGGCAGCCTCCCTGGGCCTCTAGAGGCCGCCGCTGCCCCACAGCTCCGCCTCCGCCTCCGCCTCCTCCCCCTCCTCCTCCTCCTCCTCCTCCTCCTGCCCCTCCTCCTCCCCTCCCCCTCCTCCTCCGCCTCCTCCGCCTCCTCCTCCCCCTCCCCCTCCGCCTCCTCCGCCTCCTCCGCCTCCTCCTCCTCCTCCTCCTCCCCCTCCTCCTCCTTCCTCCTCCTCCTCCTCCTCCTCCTCCTCCTCCTCCTCCCCCTCCCCCTCCTCCTCCTCCTCCCCCTCCCTCCTCCTCCTCCTCCTCCTCTCCTCCTCTCCTCCCTCCTCCTCCTCCTCCTCCCTCCTCCTCCTCCCCTCCTCCTCCTCCTCTCCCCCTCCTCACGGGTCCTCGCCGCGCTCCCGACCCTGCCGGCCCCGGCCACGCGCGCCGGGGCGCACGCGCGGCACGACGAGCTGCCCGGGCGCGCCGTCGGGCAGCCTGCAGCGACGCCCTCCTCCTCCTCCTCCCCCTCCCCCTCCCCCTCCCCCTCCCCCGGCAGCAGCGGCAGCGGCAGCGCGTCGGCAGGAAGCGTTTCAGCTGGAGACTCGGCACCCCGAGCAGCGCGGGGCCGGAGACCACGGGTTGCAGCGTCACCACCTGCCAAACCACCCCAACCTAACCCGAAGGCCTCCATTTGCCCTCCATTTCCAGTGGGGGGGGGGTCGGGGAACGTTGAAAAAACACATGGTGCCCGTACCCCCCCCCAACCCGAAATTCGGATCAAATTCGGGTCTTCGGGTTGGGTTGGGGTGGTCTGGTAGGTAGTCAGCAGCTCGATGCCGCTCTCGAGGACCACCCCCTGTGCGCTTCGGGGCCCGCCCCAGCAGGTGGTGGACAGCTGATGGCCCGGGAGGCGCCGCGTGGAGGGCAGTGCCGAGGCGAGTGGGCCTGCAGCCGCGACGGTCGAGGCCCCTGAAGGCGCGCAGGAGGGCCAGCCTTAGGTCGGGCCTGTCCCTCTACAGGAGGAATATTGAAAAATAGTCCAAAGAAAGTCAGGGAATCAGAGGACTATTGTTTGAGTATTTGTTGACCACGTTGGAGCATGTTTTGTGTACTTTTTACTTTTCGTCGAAGATCCCCCTGTAGGGGGGCACGCCCGACTTGAGGCCAGCCTGAGCCGCCCTCGCCTGCGCCCTGGCCGCCCGGGCGCGGCGCTCTGCCGCGGAGCGGTGAGGCCTCGGCGGGCGACCCGCGGCAGCGAGCCGCGGGGCCACGGCCGCGGGGGCAGAGGGCGAGGGAGCGGGCGAGGCGGCAGCCCCTCTGGGGAGGGGGGGGGGGAGGGGGGGGCGCTCGGCGCCAGCTCGCAGGCAGGGCGGGCTTGGCCCGAGCTGGCGCTGCAGCGAGCACGGCTGCGGCGGGCCGCCTCCTCGAAGCCCCGAGGTGGAGGAGAAGAGGAGCGTGAGGAGGAGGAAGGAGAGGGGGCAGAGGGGGGAGAGGGGGGAGAGGGGGGAGGGGGGAGGGGGGGGAGGGGGAGGGAGGGGGGGAGGGGGGAGGGGAGGAGGCGCACACTCTCACCTGGGAGTGGGCACCGTCTTGCGATGTGCCGTTTTGGGGGTTTGGGGGAGTTCGCCGGCTTCCATGTGCAGGGCGCATCTGCCGGCCGGGCACGTTGCTGAGCAGGGAGGGAGAGGGAGGGAGGGAAGAGGGAGGGAGAGAGGGAGAAGGAGGAGGAGGAGGAGGAGGAGGAGGAGGAGGAGGGCCAGGAGGAGGGAGGAGGTGGAGGAGAAGGAGGAGAGGGATGAGGAGGGGAGAGGGGTGGAGGAGGAAGAGATGGAGGAGGGAGGAGGAGGAGGAGGAGGAGCAGGAGGAGGAGGAGGGTGAGGAGAAGGGGAGGAGGAGGAGGAGGAGGAGGAGGAGGAGGAGGAGGAGGAGGAGGACATTGCGAACAAAAACGCGACGGGCATATGTTCGCTTCCTCTGCGTCGGGGGTCTGTTGAGGCCCTGGGACAATCAAAATCTACTTGCGAGGACCACCGGGTCCCTGGGCGCTCTAACGTCGTGGGTGAATCACGACGCCAGAGGAAGTTGTGATTGTAACGGGTTCTGCGGAGCCTTTGACTTGAAAAGCTTCCAGTCGGTTTTGCTCTGAGGGGATGGGGGGGCAACGAGAAAGAGGAGGAGGACGAGCAAGAGGCGGGGGAGGGAGAAGGAGAGAGAAAGAGAGAGAGGAAGGAGGGGAAAGGAGGGGAAAGGAGGGAGGAGGAGGAGGAGGGGGAGGAAGACCAGAGTAAGCCTAGGATGCATGAACGATGCTGCAATATACCCTCCCATCCCAGGTCCCCTCCTCACAAGTCCCTACACATCTTACATGTCACTGCGAGCAGCGCCCCCCCCCCCCCTTGTAAGGCGAGCACGCGGTGGGCGTGCCATTCAGGCGGGAGCACCGCTTTGAAGCGGAATTGCTGGGCATCCTTCCAGCGAGCGGTAAGGGACGCGGAGAGGTACGAGTAGAAAGTTCGACGAGGTCTCCAGCGACACCCCGTATTTGAAATGGTGCCGCCCCCACCCGTGGATCCGTTGCGCACGCCTGCGCAAGACGTTGGTTCTGGAGGGAGTTAAAAGGAACCGCCCTCCAGTCTTGGAGACTTTACATGTGTTCAGCACCTAGTCGCTGCATCTCAGGAAGGGTCAAGCAAGAGCTGGTCTCTGCATACCAAACGCTGTCCTCTATGTGAACGATGCAAGTTCTTTAAGACGATCGCGCTCGGCGCTGAATCAGGGCCACGTTTAGAAAGCCAGACGCCCTGCATCCGTGTGTCTGTTGTAAGCGTTTCATACGAATGCGCGCGGCGCTAAGGCAAGGGCCCAATGTTGGGAAGAAACCGACCTCCATCCGCGTATGTGCTGCAAGTTTCTTAGACGCGAGCGTGCGGCGCTAAGGCGATTGTCCGGTCTTCAAGCGGACATCGTCTCCATCCGCGCAATTGCTGCAGCTGCCTAGCTTCATGAACGAATGCGGTGAGGATGTCACGCGCCCGCGCTGCCCTGCCAACACATCTGATGCTTCGACGGGGAGGAGCTCTCCGTAGGGGAAGGGCATGGAGGCAGAGCCGGAGGGCCTGAGCAAACCCAGGACGCAGCAGCGATGATGCAAGGCAGCCTCCCGTCGTAAGGTCCCTCCTGGCAAGTCCCCACAAACCTCAGGAGGGGGAGAGCAAAACACACACACACACACACACACACACACACGCACAGAAATCGTGGACTCCCAGGAAAAGATGGAAAGGCACGGGAAGGGGAGGGGGGAAGACGAACACCCAGAAAGGTGGTTGGGAAAGTATGGAAAAGCTTGGGATGTCTGTGTCTCTTTCTGTGTGTGTCCCAGGGCCCTATTTCAATCGGCGTCCCCCCAACATACTTATACTCTGGGGGGGCGACGCGCGCACCGAGAAATCTTATAGTATATGCGTCGTGGCGGGCGCTTTCTGGCCACCCCGCTCGAGAAACGATACACTACAAGATGGGTATACTATACGTTCGGGTCGGATGCGCGCCTCCAAGGCGGACATATATGAGGAGGGGGAAAAACACACAGACACAATGAATCGTTAACTCCCAGGAAAATGTGGGAAAATACGGGAAGTGGGGGGGCAGACAAAAACCTGGAGCATGTGGAAGATATGGGGAATCCTGCTATTCGTGTGTGCTTGCTTGTGTGTCCCAGGGCCCCTTCAACATAGCACTGGTGTGTTTCTATGCGCCCCACTCAAGAACAAGAAAAAGGAAGCCGGGGCGCCACCCCGCGAGGGGCAGCCCACGCAGCAGCACGTGTTCCAAGGAGGAGGAGGAGGAGGAGGAGGAGGAGGAGGGGGAGGAGATGGGGATGAGGAGAAGAAGCAGGAGGAGGAACAGAGAAAGATCTGGGAGGAGGAGGAGGAGCAGAAGGAGCAAGAGGAGGAGCAAAAGGCCGGGTGTATATGGGGGGAGAGGAGGCTGTGGGGGAGGGGGGGGCAGAGCGGCAACAGCAGGAGAGCCCGAATTGCATCGCGGTCGCGTGCGCACGCCTACGTGCACGCACAGTCACCAACAGGCGTGTGCGCAAGCACGGTCGCACCGGCAATCAATCGAGGGCATCGGGGGGCTGGGGCGCAGTGTTAGGGGTAGCTCATAAGTGCAGCCGCGGCGCAGGGTCGCACACGACACGTGGCGCATCAACGTTGCTTGAGCAATGTCGTGCCGCCGATCAGGGAACGAGGCGCCAGCATCAATGCATTTTCTCCGTCCACTTGACGGTCAACGGTGTCGCACACGCAGCTGTGAGCTACTTCTCTCGTTCAGCGCGCAGGGGATGCCAGTTTGTCAGCGGTTGGATCGTGCTCGGAGCGTCAGTTCCAGATTTGTTCCCAAACGAAAAGCCGAAGGTCATACGACCCCCCACGGTATGATCGTGAGGTGTGGCCTCGTTATCCCCCAATCACCGCCTCCTCCCATCCTTTTACTTTCCGTTGTTTGTTCCTGGCTTGCGAAACGGGGAAGGGAAGGAAGGAGGTTGGAAGA